TCCAGTGATGTTGCAGCTCTGAAATATGGCCAAACTGGTGGCAAGTGGCATCGTGGCAGCTGCACGCTTGACTTTTCTCAGTTCATGGGCAGTTATTTTGCGCCTTGGTTTTTCCACACGCTTCTTGCGACCCTGTTGACTATTTTGAATGAAACGCTTGATTGTTCGATGATCACGCTTCAGAAGCTTTGCAATTTTAAGAGTGCTGCATCCCTCTGCAAGATATCTCACTATTTTTGACTTTTCTGAGCCTGTCAAGTCCTTCTTTTGACCCATTTTGCCAAAGGAAAGGAAGTTGCCTAATAATTATGCACACCTGATATAGGGTGTTGATGTCATTAGACCACACCCCTTCTCATTACAGAGATGCACATCACCTAATATGCTTAATTGGTAGTAGGCTTTCGAGCCTATACAGCTTGGAGTAAGACAACATGCATAAAGAGGATGATGTGGTCAAAATACTCATTTGCCTAATAATTCTGCACTCCCTGTAGTTCCAATGTAAACTAAATGACTTCAACCATATGGTCTGTAACACTTAATTGATGAGTTAATTTCTTTGATATGTTAATGATCACTAGCTGTGTTCCAGTATCATACCCAAAAGAAACATTAATAATACCCACAGATTAATAATTAAGCCTCATTTTTATTATATCTATAATGGGACAAGCATAACCTTCTAATCAAGCCTAAACCAGGACCCCACAAACGATAGAATGTTAAGTAGCCCTGAAAACAATATGCAGGCAAGCGAGTGGGCACATGTGGGCATGATACTCAGTGACGGTGTTCCGACACACACCCTTCTTTCTGAAGATTCGGTGAGAATATTAATTCGGTTTTACTTTTGGCTTTCCTGGCCCTTTCAGCTACATAGCATGATGCAACCAGTAAGTGAAGTGGATGTTTATAGAGAAACCTCATGTAATTACCAGCAACTTTAAAATGCAACGAAAATAGAAATACACAGATAGGCACAGTTGGGATAAAAATATATACAACTCGACTTTTTTGATATATATCAAATCAGAGACTTTGCTAAACTACCACACATAAGAGCGGCGGCTCGACAAAAGATTACATTCTTTGAACGCATATTCTTACATGAAGCCATACCAAGGGGCCTGATCACGCTCATGAATGCCCTCCTCTGCTCAGAAACTAGGGACTGGGGTAAACTGTCCTACACAGATCAATGGGAGAGAGACCTAGGGGAGGTGCTGGAGGGTATAGAGTGGCAGGAAATTTGGGAGGCTAACCATACCTCTTCTGTGTTTGTTACCCTCCAGGAACAATCAATCAAAGCAATGCTTCGTTGGTTTACTACTCCAGTCAAACTATAGCAAATGAAAAAAACTCTTATGGATGTGTGTAGGAGGGGCTGAGGATTGAGAGGGACATATATCCACATGTGGTGGGAACGTCCACATATGATCACTTTCTGGAACCGGATAAGGACCCTCCTATCACAGGTTTTTTCAAGAGCCCCTGATGTAGATCCATGGCTATACTTATTAAGCAGGCCCATAGATGGATGGAACAGGTATGAACAAAAGTTTTTACACAAAATTACATTAGCAGCAAGGAGAGCCATAGCCTCTGCCATCCATAGTAGGAGTAATAAATATGATAAAAGAGGTTCACTTAATGGACGATCTAACAGTTAGAATTAGAGGCACCTCAAAAACCTTCCATAGGATATGGGAACCTGGGTAAAACTATCCCATGGGAAGTTAGACACAAGTGCGACCAGCCAGTCAAATTAAATATCCTACCCATCGAACGCCCACTACCCCACCCCACCTCATCCTTCTCCCCCCCCCATCCTGTCCCAATCTTGTCTATCCTTACTATTCTTCCTTATTTCTATATCACTTTTTTCAAGGGAAGAGCTGGTACAGGCTAAAGGTGGAATCAGAGGACGAACCACCGATAGGATATACCAAGTGCATTCCTTTTTGTGGAGTTAAAAATTCCAAATAGCTACCATACGACAGGTAGAAGATAAGTGTGCAAACGCTCGATCAAAGGAATACCTAACTAGAAAATGCGCAGATAGTACACCCAGTGACAACATTAAAGGTCACATGGCACGGAAATTGCACTCAGTAGTCCTGGTGGTATCAAGTAGATCGAGGTATACCAGCGTGCAAGATATCCCCCTCTCCTTAATTTCCTTTTCCACGTTCTAGATTAAGCAAAAAAAGTATTGACCATTGTGACGAAGTGCCCTTCGCCACTTGTGCCTGGAGGGGACTACTGGCTAGCCTCCTGCCTTCCGACTATGGCCCGTGTGCTGATAGCTGTATTTTACCCTGCAGAAAGGTTTATTTGTGTATTTCTGCCAGGGCGTTCGGGACTTTCATTATGTCAGTAGTGCTACCCCAGATAGCTATGCCATGGAGCCTATTCGTGTAACAAAATACTATGTGAAAGACTTTGGCTCCATGGCGATTGAACTGTATGTATGTGATCTGAGCGCCATTCGATAATAATGTTCGCTCAGATCTAAGCTATCTGGGGATATGTTGCATGTATATGTTTTATGTAGTAATTGTAACATTGTGTAATTTTATGTCTTTTTGTAACCATGTGGTTAATGGAGTCTTGCCTCTGTCCTGGGAGATAATTTGATTACTTCCCAATTATCTCCAGGATAGAGAGGAGGGATTGTGATGTCACTGTGGGAGTGTCTTGTTTGTATTGTCTGTGATTGGCTAATATCCAATATGTGTCCCATTGTTCCATCAGGTCCCCTAGGGGAGTGTCCACCTGGTGGACACTTGCATAAATACCGGGCAGGTAGCCCTCAATAAACCAGACCTACTTGCACCTTTCTTGAAGCCTTGGCTCATGCTTGGGGGAAGGGATACCTACACTCTGTGGATTGCTATAATCACTTACTCCCCAGAGTAAGCTCTTGTAAGAGCTTGATTTTTTCCTGCTACGCTCTCTGAATTTAGGAGAGGTTCACCCACTGGGAGCTGGATCATGGTCGTGGATCCTGGGTGGGTGAGAGACGGCGAGACCCCAGCGCAGCTGCATCACTGGAAGTGGGGTCCGCAGTGCTGATGGTATCGTTTGGAGTGCTCGGAGTCCAAAAGCACTGAGAAACTGGAGCTGCTGCCACTTCGGGCCTACTGGTGCACGAGGCTCTGACAGCTCCAGCTTTTGAGCCCTGACAGGCTGAATGCTGCTGCGCTTTTATAAGCAAGGAAACGCTAATGACTAAAAAAATGCATTGGTAGAGTTTCAAGGCAGGTCAGGGCCAAGCCCAGCTTTCCCGCTGCCGGTGGGGGTTATCCTGGTCGATAGGCTGGAGTCTAGACCGCGAACTGAGACACAACTACAGATGGCAGCTTCTCCCTGCTTAATGCCTTCAGGTATTTTAACGCGAACACTGTTTTTCATAAAAAAACGCAGTGTTTACATTGCCCCTAGGGACACCTCCTGGTGGCCACTCCTTAGATGGCCACTGGAGGGTATTCCTGGCTCAGTGCTGCATAGTAGGCAGCATTGCCGTTCAGCGTCTCCACACGCTGCAATTTTGATTCAATGCATCTCTATGAGGAGGCGCTGGTTGGCCAAAACTGCGTTTGGCCCTGCCCCTGTGCCGATTTTAGCCAATCCAATGCTTTCCCCATGGGCAATTCTGATGAAGTAAGGTGAGTTTTAACCCATTCTGAGGTGGCCTAAATGGTGAGTTTTCACTATAGGGTCAGGAATACATGTTTGTGTTCCTGACCCTACAGTGTTTCTTTAATGTATATCGTGCCAGCAGCCCAGGATCGCAGGGGTTGCAGCTACGGCCCTAAACCCCTGCGACCTTGGTAGTTACGCCACTGAACTTGACCAATGTGCTACAATGTGTTGAAGCTGAGAAGTAAAGGGTACTTTTTAAAGCTCCGTATTCCTAACGCTATAGTATTCGTGTCCCTCCATCAGGTGTGATAAAAATAAATAAAATATTTACTTATCTTTTCCCAGTGCTGAGGCTCCCTCGGCGCTGCTTACCTCTGCATTCTCTGTGATGGTCCAGTCCGATGCTCCTCATAGGGGAGCACTGGGAACCAAACGCTCATGCACCACAAGGACCGCATGTGCATTCAAACAGCCATAGGAAAGCATGTGGGGCTTCCACATAGTGGCTGTCAGTAGGAATCTTGTGATGGACATTGCATTTTCTCTAAAACTAGAATGTTTTGTATTGCAGGGCTAAGAGGTGAGGCACCCAGATCATCTCAATGACATGCAGTGGTGTGGGTGACCATTGTGTTCCTTTCGTTAAAGTGTACCTATCATGGAAGTAGGTATACGACATATCTAAGGTTTTTCACTGATTAAAGGAGCACTATAGTGTTGGAATACAAAGCTGTATTCCTAACATTGTCCTTCTGACCCCGTTCCCCCCGCCCCCAGCAGTTATAGGGTTAAACTCTTTTCTCCCTTTCCTTATTCCAGTCTCTCTGTCTAAGCCTTATCCATCGCCAGCACTTATCGGAAACCCTAATGCACAACAAGCACCGCACGCGTATTAGGCCTTCACCATAGGAAAGCATTGAAGCAATGGAGGCGCTTATTTAGTAGATAAGTAATCAGAATATTACACATCAATGGATGTGACCAATCTCCTTTTAAGTTTAAAGAAAAAAAAAAGGTTTGTGCGCTTACCCCCATTAGATAACACTTGTGTTCTTCACCCGATTCTGTCTAAAGATCATTGTAACATTAATTATCTACATAAACTCTGCGAGATAAAAGCATTGTTTGTAAAACGTGAAATAAATTAATGTATACTGTGTTCTGTTACAGGTTGGACAACGGCAGTTTTTTCGAAGGATCATCATTCCAGCTAGAGCTTTCTCATTAAGAGCTCCCAACACTGGAAACACAACGTAGCAGCCAAGGTGTGCAACGTGGAAAAGGTGCAGGTCTATGGACATCATTCGATTGCCTGGATGTACATATTAGGATTTATTATTTTCGATACGGCAGGTCCGGCAGGGTTTTCTCCAAATCTCCAGATTTTGTTTTAATTGTACATCTCCAGCTCAGTTTAGGAAATCTACCAATGCACCGGAAGATACACTACAAGCACATCTCATCCACTGCAATACCAGTATTTGCATTTAAGTTTTCAGATCTCGTGGAACAAAATGACAATCTGCTGTTGTCTTTATTGCTCAATTCCTACAAGAAAGGAGGAGAACTATACATGGAGCATGCATAATTTACAGGAGAAAGGTGTAACATGACATGACCTCTTCATTTTGACTCAATCTCCTAAGGGTGTCTTGGTACACCTAAAAACCGTGTCAACTGGAAGAACAAAAACACAATACCAAACAGGACTTAGGGGTCCAATACAGCAAACACAATCAAGTTTATAAAAAGAGTAGCATCAACCATGTATATCCCGTACGTGCATGTCCTCTCTCACCTGTCATCATGTCCCTTCATCAACCATCCATGTGCTTTACTCATACTAGTCCTGTACTGTACATCTGCTGCAGTCACACTACCTTTCCCAACCCATGTCTACTGCATACCACTTGTCCTGCAATCAGAGACCTTTCCCTTCCCACGTCTCCTGCAGTCACACTACCTTTCCCTTCCCACGTCTCCTGCAGTCACACTACCTTTCCTATCCCACGTCTCCTGCAATCACACTACCTTTCCCTTCCCACGTCTCCTGCAGTCACACTACCTTTCCCTTCCCACGTCTCCTGCAGTCACACTACCTTTCCTATCCCACGTCTCCTGCAGTCACACTACCTTTCCTATCCCACGTCTCCTGCAGTCACACTACCTTTCTCATCCCACATCTCCTGCAGTCACACTACCTTTCCCATCCCACGTCTCCTGCAGTCACACTACCTTTCCCATCCCACATCTCCTGCAGTCACACTACCTTTCCCATCCCACGTCTCTTGCAGTCACGCTACCATTCCCATCCCACGTCTCCTGCAGTCACCCTACCATTCCCATCCCACGTCTCCTGCAGTAACACTACCTTTCCCATCCAACGTCTCCTGCAGTCACACTACCGTTCCCATCCCACGTCTCCTGCAGTCACACTACCTTTCCAATCCAACATCTCCTGCAGTCACACTACCTTTCCCATCCCAGGTCTCCTGCAGTCACGCTACCTTTCCCATCCCACGTCTCCTGCAGTCACACTACCGTTCCCATCCCACGTCTCCCATCCCACGTCTTCCCATCCAACGTCTCCTGCAGTCACACTACCTTTCCAATCCCATGTCTCCTGCAGTCACACTACCTTTCACATCCAACGTCTCCCGCAGTCACACTACTTTTCCCATTCCACGTCTCCTGCAGTCACACTACATTTCCCATCCTACGTCTCCTGCAGTCACACTACCTTTCCTATCCCACGTCTCCTGCAGTCACACTACCATTCACATCCCACGTCTCCTGTGGTCACACTACCTTTCACATCCCACGTCTCCTGCAGTCACACCACGCTCCTGTCCCACGCCTCCTGCAGTCACCCTACTGTTCACTCCTACGCTCTGTGCAGTCACACTACCTTCCATCCAACGCCTCCTGGGCAGTCACACCACTTTCATCCCACTGCCCCAGTCACACTACCTTCCCATCCCACTGCCTCCAGTAGCCTACAACTCACTGCCTCATCCCACGCCTCCTGGGGCCACCTTACCTTCCTTATCCCACGCCTCCCAGTCACACTCACCTTTCTCATCTAACGCCCAGTCACACTACCTTCCCACTCTGCCTCCTTGGGTGCCACTACTTTTCCTATCTACCTGCCTGTAGCCACACTACATTTCCCAACCTACGCTCCTGTGTCATACCATCCCACGTCTCCTGCAGTCACACTACCATTTACATCCCACTTCTCCTGCGGTCACACTACCTTTCACATCCCACGTCTCCTGCAGTCACACTACCTAACCTTTCCCATTCCACGTCTCCTGCAGTCACACTACTTTTCCCATTCCACATCTCCTGCAGTCACACTACCTTTCCCATTCCACGTCTCCTGCAGTCACACTACCTTTCCCATCCCACGTCTCCTGCAGTAATTTCCACATCAGTCATATATATTCCATGTTGATATTTTACAGACCATTTATATCAGCTTACAATAAAGAATGTTAGCCATTCCGTTGCAAAATATTTTGACACCTGTTGGTCTACCCTTAATATCTTTTAATTCTGAATAAAAAAGATTGTTTAAAAATTCTGCAGGATTTTATGTTTTTAGTTAATTCGCTGAAACAAATGTTACCTTCAATGTGTTCCTTCTAACTCTGGAGGGAAACCGATATTCCGCAGTGTGATTTACAGTTATCAACTTGTTTAGTTTTAAATGAGAATTGCTATTTCAACTGAAGAAAGAAGCGACATTTCTTATAAATCTTAACGAGTAAACAGAGCTAGGACACATTCTCTCTTTGTATTACAACAGGCATTAGTTCATTAAATATGTCGCTAGAAACAGATTACAAAGAGATGAAAGAAAATTAACTCAGGTTTGGAATGTATTCTCTGTCCTGGTAGCCCACAAGTGATCCCATGTGCAAGAAAAGCCAAATGAAGTTAGAGATTTCAGAGATAAAATGTCCTTTGGCGAATGTCCAATATATTCAGAAATAGCATTGTGATGGAATTTCGGTGAAATGTAAATTTAGTAGGCCGATATTTCCACGTGGCATATGTGTATGTTGTATCAGTTAGTTAGTTACACGTAGCTAAGATACTGTCATCAATGTACTGAGCATGTGCAGGAATGCAGGAACTGAAATCACATTCCTTTCTCTTTTGTTTCGGATGAGCCATGTGGTCTGCCCATATAAGGAAATCCAAATCCTGTCCACTGATTGGTTAAGGGTATGTGCGGGTGGAGCTATTAATGGGAGGAGTTATAGTTCTATAAAAAGCATGTACTCCATGTGTTCGGCCCTCAGACCTGAGGCCCAATCGGTATGTTAATAAAGACCTCTTACTTCCTGAAAACCTGCATCCATCTCTCTGTGTCTGGCTTTTGCAAGTTTACTCGGTTACATCTTGATAATCACCTCCCAAAAAGTAAGCCCTCACGCATGACCAGAAATTGATCGTTAAAGACAGAATATTGAAATATTAATTGCATTTGTGAATACACTGTGACGCAGACTCACAGGAAGCCATACCAGGAAGAAATAGCAATGTCTCAGTTGTAGTTTTGGGTACACACTTTGACTCTAACTTCAGATAAAGACAATGTTTCTGGTCTCTGTATGGATTCTGGGTAGTGACATGAAATCATGGTCAATGTACACCCGTCCCACTTCATTGACACAGTGAGCATCATATATAATCCGCCTGCATTCACTGAATGGGAACATTGTGGTGTTTGAAAGGCCCTAGCAAATCCAGAGTTAAGCACTAAAGAAATTGTCAACACAACAGGATTTGTGTTACTTGGTCTTCTATCTAGAAGAGAGATCAGTTAAAACAAAATGATAATACAATGAAAATTTGGTATCAAAGGGCTTAAGGGACATGCGTGAAATCTTAAAATTCTATGCGATGAAGACGCTGCTCTGTCGATCAGTTTTAATGTGTTGTTTTTAGAGTCAAATGCATAAAATTCTTATTATAAAATAAGGATCTGAAAACGCTTAAGTGACCAAAATGATTGTTTATTCAGTTTCTGTTTTTTGTCCTAACTTTTATATTTTGAAAAAAGAATTCAAATTAACCATATCTAGGAAAGGAATGTTATATCCCTGTGTGTATCACAGGTCCTGACGGAACCTTATACCCCTGTCTGTATTACCAGTCTCGATGGAACCTTATACCCCTGTCTGTATTACCAGTCTCAATGGAATGTTATTCCCCTGTCTGTATAACCGGTCTCGATGGAATGTTATTCCCCTGTCTGTATTAGCTGTCTCGATGGAATGTTATACCCCTGTCTGTATTACCGGTCTCGATGAAATATTATACCCCTGTCTGTGTTACCGGTCTTGATGGAATGTTACACAATCTTCTTAGAATGTTATACCCCTGTCTGTATTACCGGCCTCGTTAGAATGTTATACCCCTGTCTGTATTACCGGTCTCATTAGAATGTTATACCCTTGTTTGTATTATCGATCTCGATGGAATGTTATTTCCCTGTCTGTATTACCTGTCTGGATAGAATCTTATACCCCTGTCTCTATTACCGGTCTCGTTGGAATGTTATACCCCTGTCTGTATTAATAATCTTGTTAGAATGTTACACCACTGTCTGTATTATTGGTCTCATTAGAACGTTATACCCCTGTCTGTATTAACAATCTTGTTAGAATGTTTTACCCTGTCTCTATTATGGGTCTTGTTAGAATGTTATACCCCTGTCTGTATTAACGATGCTGTTGGAATGCTATACCCTGTCTCTATTACGTGTCTTGTTAGAATGTCATTCCCTTGTCTGTATTAACAATGTTGTTAGAAAGCTATACTCTGTCTCTATTACGTGTCTTGTTAGAATGTTATACCCATATCTGTATTAACAATGTTGTTAGAACATTATTCCCCTGTCTCTATTATGTGTCTTGTTAGAATGTCATTCCTCTGTCTGTATTAACAATCTTGTTAGAATGCTATACCCTGACTCTATCCTGAGTCTTGTTAGAATGCTTTACCCTGTCTCTATTATGGGTCTTGTTAGAATGATATACCCCTGACTCTATTACGTGTCTTGTTAGAAAGGCATCCCCCTGTCTGTATTAACTATGTTGTTAGAATGTTATACCTTGCCTCTATTATGTGTCTTGTTAGAATGTCATTCCCTTGTTTGTATTACGTGTCTTGTTAGGATGTCATTCCCTTGTCTGTATTAACGACGTTGTTAGAATGTTATACTCCTGTCTGTATTACTGGTCTCATTAGAACGTTATACCCCTGTCGATATTAACAATCTTGTTAGAATGTTATAACCTGTTTCTATTACGTGTCTTGTTAGAATGTTATACCCCTGTCTTTATTAACGATGTTGTTAGAATGTTATACCCTGTCTCTATTACATGTCTTGTTAGAATGTCATTCACTTATCTGTATTAACGATGTTGTTAGAATGTTATAACCCTGTCTGTATTAACTATGTTGTTAGAATGTTATACCCTGCCTCTATTATGTGTCTTGTTAGAATGTCATTCCCTTGTTTGTATTACGTGTCTTGTTAGGATGTCATTCCCTTGTTTGTATTACGTGTCTTGTTAGGATGTCATTCCCTTGTCTGTATTAACGACGTTGTTAGAATGTTATACTCCTGTCTGTATTACTGGTCTCATTAGAACGTTATACCCCTGTCGATATTAACAATCTTGTTAGAATGTTATACCCTGCCTCTATTATGTGTCTTGTTAGAATGTCATTCCCTTGTTTGTATTACGTGTCTTGTTAGGATGTCATTCCCTTGTTTGTATTACGTGTCTTGTTAGGATGTCATTCCCTTGTCTGTATTAACGACGTTGTTAGAATGTTATACTCCTGTCTGTATTACTGGTCTCATTAGAACGTTATACCCCTGTCGATATTAACAATCTTGTTAGAATGTTATACCCTGCCTCTATTATGTGTCTTGTTAGAATGTCATTCCCTTGTTTGTATTACGTGTCTTGTTAGGATGTCATTCCCTTGTCTGTATTAACGACGTTGTTAGAATGTTATACTCCTGTCTGTATTACTGGTCTCATTAGAACGTTATACCCCTGTCGATATTAACAATCTTGTTAGAATGTTATAACCTGTTTCTATTACGTGTCTTGTTAGAATGTTATACCCCTGTCTGTATTAACGATGTTGTTAGAATGTTATACCCTGTCTCTATTACATGTCTTGTTAGAATGTCATTCACTTATCTGTATTAACGATGTTGTTAGAATGTTATAACCCTGTCTGTATTAACTATGTTGTTAGAATGTTATACCCCAGTCTGTATTACGTGTCTTGTTAGAATGTCATTCCCCTGTCTGTATTACGTGTCTTGTTAGAATGTTATACCCCTGTCTGTATTACGTGTCTTGTTTGAATGTCATTCCCCTGTCTGTATTACGTGTCTTGTTAGAATGTTATACTCCTGTCTGTATTAACGATGTTGTTAGAATGTTATATCCCTGTCTGTATTAACGATGTTGTTAGAATGTTATACCCCTGTCTCTATTACGGGTCTTGTTTGAATGTCATTCCCCTGTCTGTATTACATGTCTTGTTAGAATGTTATACCCCTGTCTGTATTAACGATGTTGTTAGAATGTTATACCCCTGTCTGTATTACGTGTCTTGTTAGAATGTTATACCCCAGTCTGTATTACGTGTCTTGTTAGAATGTCATTCCCCTGTCTGTATTACGTGTCTTGTTAGGATGTCATTCCCCTGTCTGTATTAACGACGTTGTTAGGATGTCATTCCCCTGTCTGTATTAATGACGTTGTTAGAATGTTATACCCCGTCTGTATTAACGATGTTGTTAGAATGTTATACCCCAGTCTGTATTACGTGTCTTGTTAGAATGTTATACCCCTGTCTGTATTACGTGTCTTGTTAGAATGTTATACCCCTGTCTGTATTAACGATGTTGTTAGAATGTTATACCCCTGTCTGTATTACGTGTCTTGTTAGAATGTTATACCCCTGTCTGTATTAACGATGTTGTTAGAATGTTATACCCCTGTCTGTATTAACGATGTTGTTAGAATGTTATACCCCTGTCTGTATTAACGATGTTGTTAGAATGTTATACCCCTGTCTGTATTAATGATGTTGTTAGAATGTTATACCCCTGTCTGTATTAACGATGTTGTTAGAATGTTATACCCCTGTCTGTATTAACGATGTTGTTAGAATGTTATACCCCTGTCTCTATTACGGGTCTTGTTTGAATGTCATTCCCCTGTCTGTATTCCTGTATTATCTGTCTCGCCAGATTTAAATCAGTAACTTCATACCTATAATGCAGAGCAGGAATCATAGGAGTGATATGTTGTCCTGACACACAACTAGTAAGACGTTCATAAAAATGAGCAAAGCAAAATTAGAGAGGCATTCTTTGTGAGTTTGCTTTTCAAAAAGTCAAATATTAGCAGTCGGTGAGCCATGCTCAGATTTTTCACTCATGCTTTTGTGTCGTTCTCCACACCTGGCGCCTTGAGGTTGAGATAAGAGGGTGAAGGGGTGGGGGATTAGCCTAAGAGTTTATTTCCGCATTAATGTACATCAGCCCTCCATTCCGGAGAGTAAATACAGCAAAGTACACAAAGTAATGTCAGAAATGATCTCCAGTTCAAGCTAGCACATAACGGTATATCAAAGTGTGTCTGTCACCTTAAACTTACCTTTCTTCTATTGTTTTCTCTTCTTTTCCAATCTGTTGTTCTTTCTTCATTTCTGCTCCATTTCTCTTTAAAACATAAGACAAAGTAGGGACTAACTGTCTTGTGTATTTTTCTTACGTTTGACAATTTGGTGGAGCTTAAGGCAACCTCCACTTCCTTTGTCAAGATAGAGTTCCCACAGTTCTCACCTCTATCCTGTCCTTCCTCTCTTGCCTCACAAGATTTTTGAGTGGCGCGCATGCCCATTTCAATTATGATCACTCACGGCTTACTGGACATGCATGCCCGCAGCCGTCTCCAAAGTGCTCTCCTGTCTCATATGTGCAGCACAGACGTTCATCGCCTCCATGCTTTGCAAGCAGGGGCTGAATATTCCTCAGACAGATGCATTGATTCAAGGAGATGCTGATTGGCACAGCACAGAGTTTTTCATTCATGCATGTACTTGGACACGTCTCTTCAACGTCACAGCAGGCGGACGTACAGCAAATCACTGCAGCTATCATTTATACAATGAATAGAGACGCCATAACCTAACAATGGCAGCTCGTCACCTCAGGTTGATTTAGGAATACATTTCAACTTACATTCAATACATTTAGATATACTGTTAGGTTCGGAAATATTTGGAC